TTTTTTTTTTTTTTTTTCCTCCTAGGAGTCTTGTCCCACTTCACTAACAGATCCAAAATTAAATTCCCCAGCAATGATAATCTGGCCCACTTATAATTCAAACAAATTTGCAGAACAGTTATGTTAAATGAAAAGTTTGTCCTAGAGTCTGTGACTGAAGCAACATATTGGCTTAAACAGATAAATAAAGCGTTGGCTGCAAGAATTTACACAAGCCATTTGGCAATCAAAAATGGAGATTATATAGTGACTTTCAGATCCAACATTTCATGTTTAACTAGAAAATTAAAAGACATCTTAATTAAAACCACTATTCCTCTAACAGATGTAGCAGATGAAAAATTTCCACTTATATAAAACTAATTGATCCACTGTGTGACAAAAGATGTTTCTCATAAGGGACTGCATGAATTTCTTCCAATAAAATCAAAGCAACCTGTGTGACAAAAGATGTTTCTCATAAGGGACTGCATGAATTTCTTCCAATAAAATCAAAGCAACCATCTTAATTAAAACCACTATTCCTCTAACAGATGTAGCAGATGAAAAATTTCCACTTATATAAAACTAATTGATCCACTGTGTGACAAAAGATGTTTCTCATAAGGGACTGCATGAATTTCTTCCAATAAAATCAAAGCAACTTCAGACTACATCCTCTTCAATTTATAAAAAGTCCTCTACCACTTAATTATACCTCTGACTTACCAAAAAAAACAACAACAACATTAAAAATATTTACTGTAAGGAGTGGTGGTCAGGCTAGATCCAGATTCTTGGTTAAAATACAAATATTCTAACAATTGGAAGAAGAAAGGGTTTTTGTTTTTGTTTTTTTTTAGTTTCTAGGGTCTCCCAGCAAAGACATTCCAAGGTTATAGCCACCTCTCCTTCCCTCCCAAGCTATGAATGTAAAAAAAGGAAATAAATGGGGGGGAGGCCTAACCTCCTCCCTAGCATGGAAAATCTATGCATAAATTATATCACCTCCTTCAAATTTATTATTTCTCAATAGATTGCTGTAATGTTGCCACAATCTGAATAGCCATCTTGTGTTTAAGGTAATTAAGGGCGAGATTAATATTTCTGCTTTCTAAATCTTTGCTAACGACACACAAAGCTGCCTTCAAAGTAGTAGAGAGAGAGAAACAAACAAATTGTTCTAGCAGATCACCATCTTATCAGGAGTACAACATCTACCATTTTTTGCTGAGGCTGGTTTGCTGAATCTTCTAACTCATCATGCTCATTGTTTAGATATTGAAAGTGACTGTCTTTATTTGATAATTTATTCTTACATGTATGCATCACTATCTGTTATAGCCCATCATATATTTTGCAGTGCAATATGGGGCATGTTAGAATTCTATTGAAAAGGTAAGTATACCTCTTTTTATTCACATGTTTCCAAAAGTTTTAAAGTACAGTGTTAAGGAAAAAAATAGAGCAATTAATAGTAGTTTGTTTGGAAATATGGAAGGCATATACTTCAGTCTTATTGGCTAAATTGTGTTTTAGTTCATATTTTTAAGGAACTTAGTATGAAGGCTTGATTTTACCAGAGTCGGTATTAGTTTTAATATTTAAAGTTGAGTTTGCACTGAACTATAAATGATCTCTTATGAAGTTCTCACTTGGATTTGAGAACATGTGTATAGTAGTCCATTTCAGTAGTTGTGAGAGGACTTGACAAAACATTCTGTTGTCTGGATAGCTGGCCTTGAAAAATATAGTGTAGTAATCCTGTCCTTACCTCTGTAAAATACTCTTAGAATAGGTTTAGTCTGAAGGTCTTTGCTTGGTCTTTGTTTAGAAGAGGCATCTGACTCATATATCTTGAATATATTACACTGGTGACAAGAATCTTAACTGTTTCTAGAAAAGACAACAAAATAAAAACTTTAAATATGGTGTTTACAAACGGTTACTTGTTTTGCAGGGCAGAAGAATCTGTTTTATCAAAAGGACTTGTACGTATAATACATATATATTATTTCTGCTTATGTTCTCAGAAAATATAAGCTCAATCCAACTTTCTTTAGAATTGAATATGCTTTATAAGCAGTCTTGAACTCTTATGTCTGCTTGCTTGAAAATGAATCACATTGAACTCTTAGGTTCAATTATTCTGAATTGCTCTAATCCTGCATCTAATTTCACACATTGTTATTAAACCTGAGTTTGACTTTTGATGCCTGTGCAGTTTTTGCAGCAACAGTATGGAAGTGATTTGCCACTGCCTTCATCAAGAATGCATTTTCAACTTCCCAGTTGAGCCTGGAATTTTCCGAAGGTCTCCTATGCGAATATCCATTACATCCAACTTCACTTAACTTTTTTTTAAGATAGTCTGAGTTAAACTAGGTGCTTAGATATATAGTGCATGGATTTTGTTTATTGTTACAGCATAACCTCAAATGCATTCCTGGAAAATAATTAATTGTTAGTGGACACAATTGGGTAAAGTGCCATATGTCATATCAAACAAAGAAACTGCCTTAGACAAAGCAGGGTCTTTAGCTGGGTTTGCCCACAGCATGAAGTTATAGTATAATTTGTTTAGTTTCAACTTAAAATGTTGAGTGAATTGAGCTATTGTGACTTATAAAACAGATCAAGATTAGAACAAACTATGATCTAACACTAAACTATAAAGCACAGTTTACAGATGGTTGGATTTACATTATAGACTAAATCCTTGTAAACTGCTGAGAGTTGCTTCATTGCAGCAGTTTAAAAATTGGATAAGATAAAAAAGGAGAAGCAGCTGGTTATTCCCCATTTTGGGGAGTTCAAGAGGGCCACAGCCTGTAAGTGTTGTCTTTCGATGGTTGGGGCAGCTATCTGGAATGGCTTCCCATTGGAGGTTCAGTTAGCTCTGACATTAAGTGCCTTTCCGAAGAAAGCTGAAGATGGAACTCTCCTGGAGGGCATTTGGTTTGTTTGTTTATTTATCAATCATATGTATATAGCTGCCCATCTCACACGTGACTCTGGGCGTACAACAATTAAAAAATAATTGTATCACACCACCTAATTGTTGTTAGTGGATTTTTCAGTATTTTGTCTCTGTATTATGTATTCTGGGTTTTATCTTTGTGGTAAGCTGCCAAGAGCC